CCATCGTATCTAAATCCATGTTTGTCTGGGTGGCCCAACCTCATAGAAACAGGAGCTCTGAAAACAGCTTGAGACTAGGGATAATGTGTTTTTCTTTCTCTTTATTTTAAAGATTCAATCGCCATTTTACCTTTTTTTAAAAAATTAACCAAAAAAATCTTGAAAACTATCCCTCCAAAATAAAGGTTGTTTTTTAAAAAAATTAACTATTGTTAGATTACATAGCAATATTAAAGTGATGGTGCTAATCACCAAATCTTTATTTTACATATATGGTCTGACCCCCATATCCAAAGGGGATATGTTCCCAGTCTTACCGCGGATAATGGCGGATGCTAAATTTCTGCCAGAAACTGGCCATAAAGTTGCGCTGGAGGACCTCCAAGTGTCTAGAGAGGTGGCATCTCTAAGCATCTGGAGGTCCTCCAGCCCAATTCTATGGTCATCTTCCAGCAGAAGATGAGCTTTCATAAATGCGGTGATCTTTAAGGGGCCCCAGCAGTCTTTGTCCCATTTTTTAAAAAGTCCCAGCAATGTCACGTAGTCATGCATCTCTGTCCTGCCATGATATAGGAGTCACCAAGTTTCCTTGTCACCCATCATGTGTAGCATCCTTCAGTCCCTGATGGAAACTGCCGGAGAGATTCGGACTGTTCTGCCAGACAGCCTGTACTCCACGGGAATGGTAAGTAGCATGGTTTTGGTCCTAGGGTGCATCTACACAGTAGATATCATGCAGATTAACAGCCCTTGAAGTACTTTAGCTCCATCCTATGGATGCAAGATTTGTTCAGAGGAAGTTTGCCATTGCCTTCGCCCGAGGCTGAGAGCCTGTGACTTGACCCCAGGTCAAAAATGTATCTTGCTGTTTCTTCTGGTCAGGACTGTGATCTCTCCAGGGTTTTTACAGGTGTGTTCATAGACAGAAACCCCTCTGGACTATGGTCACTCCAGCTCTCCCTATCAATAACACTTGGCATCTGCTGGATATGCACCTCTGGGTGATAGCACCAATGTTTAATCTGTTCCTCTAAAGAAACTGATGAATAATGTCTTTTGGGATCACTGGTGATCTATGTTCCCATCTAACAGGTTAGGGACGCATCTTAACAAGTGGTTGGTGCAAATCTTTCCCTACATTTCAAGTCCCTGCAAAGCATGTGGCAATGATGAGCATAGCCAGGTGCCAAAGTTAGACAAGTTGAACACTTAGCATCAGATAATACTGCAAAGGCTTCTGGAAGAAATAAGCCGAGAAAGTTGGCGTAACAAGCCACGGAGGTGAGCATAACGGGACCCTTTGCACATCATCCGAATCCTCCTTGTACAAAGTCTGCAAAGGGATCTTGTTGCCCCCTTGAGACTAACTGTGCCAAAGAAGTTGCAGCGTGAGCTTTCGCCAACTTGGACTACTAGCTCAGATGGCAGGCAAAGCACACTAGGACTGAGATTTGGGTTTTGTTCTCTTCCAGGGATCAAAACAGGGAAGTGTGTCCATTTTAACCATTCCCACAGCACCTGCGAGATCTACGGCTGGTGTCCAGTGGAAAACATGACCTTACCTAGGTACCAAAGTCTTGTCTTGCTTCAACTACCACTGCTTGGACAACATTACTTGTTCCAGGGGCCAATTTTCTCTCTATAACATCTCTTGCAGCTGCACCATCCCCCCCAGTGCAAAAAAATGCCCCCCAAATGGAAAGCATTATGGGTTTCATTTGGGGAGGGTTGTGGAGTTGAAGGACTTGGGTGTGTGTGTCTTTGGAGGCTTCTCTGAGTGGCAAATTGCCTTTCACATTTTTCTCACGTGTCTTTCATCCTTTTTGTTTCTTTGCTGTTTTCTCTTCAGGAAACCACGCTTGGCAGAAGCAGAAAATTTCACACTCTTTATTAAAAACACAGTCAATTTTTCCAAGTTTAACTTCTCCAGGTAAGGGTTAAGATCCTTCAATGGGCTGATGGCTGCCCAAGGTGGATACTGTTTTTCGCCCAAAGTGTTGAAAGTGTGGAAGGCTGGTTGTTTTGGGGGAGAAGTCACTTTGGTTTTGCCTTTGATTAAATACCTTTTGCAAAGTTTTTATATTGTCCAAAAAATTTGCAAAGCCAGAACAGGGTCAGTGGAATGGTCAACCCCTTTTGGGTTAAAATCTAAACTGCTATAAAGATATATATATCTTTTGAATATATATATATATTCAAAAGGGATCTCAGTTATATGCAATAATGTTCCAGTGTAACAAAAGCAGGAAAATAAGTCTATTTGTAAATTTCATTTCTGCATCATTCTTTCAAATGTTGCAAGTGTGGTAGTTAGATCTTCATTAGATCACAGGTGGAGAAAAATGTTTTTTCCAATAACAAAGTGTCAATATTTAGCCGTCAAAAGGGTGCCAAAAATCCACTTCTGTTGACCATGTGTCAATTTCCAAGAAACAGGTACATAATTCAAGAGAACATGCATGTCACTGAATGCCAAGGAACTTTAATCTGAACTTTTAAGGTGCTGTCCAAGGTACCTAATAAATGGGTTGTGGTGTTCAGCACCTTGGACAGCTCCGGTTAAATTTGAACTGCATCGCAGAAGGGATTTGTCACCCCACTGCCATGCAATCCACAAGCCACCCCTAGAACTTGTTCCTCCAACTGGTTTCCCGGAAAACCTCCTTAATTCTTGGTGTCTCTTAGAGCCAACACTTTAAAGACAACAGACGACTCCTACTTCAAGGGTTGCCGATACGATGCTCTCGATAGCCCTTACTGCCCCATCTTCCGTATTCACGACATGGTGAAGGCGGCTGGCGCAAGCTTTCAGGAGCTGGCCCTCAGGGTAGGTCCCTTTCCCCAAATCATAGCAAGTGTATCAGAACTATACCATAAATATGAAGACTGGGGCATTAGGGCTCCACTTTCTTCTTTAAAATAAAGTAGATTTCTGACTGATAGGTTTAGCCATAGGGGGAAAAAAGTGAGGGTTCTCAGGCCAAGATCTTGTTGTCTGGCTGTGCAGTGTAACATCATGCCGGTGGACTGGATCGTACTGTTCTTCAACTATTAGGTATCACCCTTTACTTTCTCCTTTTGCAACAATCAGTCCGACTCCCTAGCCTCGGCACAGTAATCCCCATTATAAGGACACAGTAATGCCCGTTATTATGCCAAGTAGTGCCCATTAAAGTCATACACTTGAGGGGGGCAAGGAGGGGGACATGGAGCTGCTTTGGCCTTAGACTCCACATTGTTGATGTAGGATCGCAGCCCTAGAATGGTATGTTGTACAACCTGTTGCCTAACAGATACCTCCTCACATCTGTGCCTTTTTCTGTACTCTTGTGGCATTTTGTGGCTCCTGACGCAGGGGGGAGCCATCAGCATGCGCATCGACTGGGACTGCAACTTGGACCAGGCTCCTTCGGCATGCCAGCCTAGCTATTCCTTCAACCTCCTGGACAAGGAATTCAACTTCAGGTAGGAGAATCCACAGGCTGGGGGGTGTGAATAAAGACCTTAAGGATGTAGTGCATAATACATTTCTATTCTGTTAGGCAAGCGTGAATAATTTGCCTGCTTTCATCCCTGCTGTGCAAAGGCCCTTGAAAACTGCACAGCTCTTGAGGAGTGTTTGCATTTCAGCACTTAATGCTTTTCCTCCCCAAAAAAGTGCATTTGTTTTTGTTTGTTTGTTTTGTCTGTGCAGATAACATGATTGTCTGCACACACCCACCTTATGTTTTCTGCACAGGAAACTTGCTTTCTATACAGAAAACTGCTATTTTCTCCACTGAAATGTTCTTTAATGCACAGAAAATCATACCATGCATAGTGGCACAAACTGGAACTGATGCTAGCTGGGCACCTTTCTATTGTGAATGTTGCATAAGTCATTCAGTCTTATTTACCGTGATCCATCTATGGTGGCTTGGAGTTCCTATGACTGTTGGGCTGTGAATCAGCTCTGAGATTAAAGGAGCTATATACTGGCCGAATGGCTGTAATAAAATCAATCAATCAATCAATCAATCAAAGGAGCTATATAGAAGGGTTGAACCCGAGGTTCCAAATAGTTTCAGCACCTTGGATAGTTCCTTTTAGAGAGGAGTCACCACTTCACAGGCAGGTAAACCAGTATTCCCCATGTTATGCATGAAACAGGCCAGATGTGGTAGCCATAGAATAAGAAATGCATTCATATGCCTCTGAAAAGCGTTGCTGACCCCAGCTATGTGTCTTATTCAGCCATTCTCCTCCTGGCCTCAGAGATTTCCCCGTATGCTTTCCAACAGCTCCATCCATCTTAAAGATTCAGGGCCTGCTTGCTTTTCTCTGCTTAAATGATAGTTGGGATTCTTAGCTGCTGGTTAACTGGGTGGCTATGGGGAAGTGGTCTACAACACCCTGGGAAGTTCTCCTGCACAAGCTGCGGAAGAGCAGGGCGCCTTGCGGATGGCCTGCCTCCTCCGCTGCTCTCCTTTCAACAGTGCCCAGAAACTGCCACCTTGCACAGAGCTTGGAGTAGTTAACTTTTGCAGACAGCAGCCCCCAGCATTCCCCTCCCAGTTCTGTAAGTCCAAAACATCAGTGCTTTCCAAGCATGGTGTCCTGGCAGGGCTGTCTCTCA